ATCTTCAACACAAAGCATAACCTCAAAGAATTCTTGGTAGGTAGAGCAGGGAGTAAAAGTTGCCAAAGAATGCAATCGCTTACTAGTCCCCTTCTTAAAATAACGGAGCATTTCTCTGGGATTCCCAGCAATCTCAGGACAATAACGGGATAAGTTAGTGAACTTCCGGTGGTACTATGTGACTGACATTTTACCTTGTTTCAACTTTACGAATTTTTCTCTTTTTCTATCCTTGTACTTAGGAGGTGTGAATCTAGCCTCAAATAGGCGCCTGAAAACATCTCAATCTGTGGCATCTTGAGCAGACAACGGGCGTGACTCCTGAGCCCACCATGATCCAGCTCCCAGACGGGAGAAACAAGTTGTTGTCTTGACCCATCTATCCTCTGGAAGATTCCCTTGTCGCTGCATAACTCAAAAGTCTTCTCAACATGGTCGATCCAAACCTCATATTTCTTAGGTCCCTCATTGCCAAAGAAATTATTTATCTTAAGATGGGATACAGTCTCTAAGGTGTTCCTCTAGGGAGGACGAAGTGTGGACTGAATGGCGTTGGCGATAGCCTCACCGAGTTGCCCAAAATCGAGAAAATTAATCTCAGAAGGGACATATGGCGTTCTACGAGGTGGCATGATTCTGACATAAGAGATAAAAAATTATTAGAACTTATAGCACATATGAAGGATGCAGGACTACCAAACCTAGGCTCTAATACCAAACTGACACACCTCGACCGAAGTCGAGGCATGCTAACCGTCACCTGAAGGTGACGTAACCAAAAGTGTAAGTGATGTAAAAATGTGAATAAATTAAAACCGAAACTAGAACTTATTTAAACTAATAAAGTGAATGCGCAATCGAAACTAGTTAGTACTTAATACACAACCAGAAATAGTTCCTACATTTATTAGGGGTATGTCAGAATCGTCAGCTAATCCTCGTACGCCACAAAGTAATTCAGCTATTTAGGACCTGGAAAGGCGAAAAACAGAAGGGTGAGTAGGCAAAAACAAAGGTTTATAAAACACAATTATTTTCCCAACATACTAAGCCCTTGTTGTAAAACATGTATAGTTTCCAGAAAATCATACACTACGTATAAGTATGAAATCAAATGAAAATCAACAATAATTCCAGAAATATGCCAATCACAATATCTCAATAGTAGCATAATAAAATCAGATGCTCATCAATCTATGCTAGCACACAAGTTGGAGTCACCTAATGAAACCTATACGACTGAACTGATGCTCATCAATCTATGCTAGCTGATAGACTCATATTTATACAAGTTTTTATTACCTTAGTACTTGGATTATGTATAGTTTTCATCCCTTATTAGTAGTTTACTTGTGGTTTTCTTATTTTGTAGGATTAATTGCAAAGAAGAAAGGGATTTTGAGGCAAATAAGAGAAGTTTTGAGAGCCTAAAAACGGCCCGTAAACATTCAAAGGAAGTTCACAGGATATCAAAGCGATGCCTAAAACATGGAGGTGACACAATTTGGAAAATCTGTGATATGAGAGTTTTTGTCCAACGACTTTGATGGGCAGCCATTTATTTATCCCGAGGAACCTCATTGCATACCATATATGGATCAAAAGATATGGAAGTCTTCTTTTAAATGGAGTTGGAATCATGTCAATCCAATATTCTTACAGTGAATTATGATCATCTTAGTAACTGCTGTTCGGATTTCCAAGTTCGGTTAACTTTGCATTTCAAGTGATTTGGGCTAAAATCTGTACAGTTCACTTAAGTTAGAGATTTAAAACCCAACAAGTAATTTAGTCTAACTAGTGTGATAGAGAAATATGAGCTGCCCTTTTAGGCCCAATAATGCACTTAATCTTCATCAAAATACGAGTGGAGGGTGGAGATGAAAAGCAAAAAAATAAAAAAATAATTGTGGGGATTGGTCAATTTAGTTCCAAGCGGCTGTTGCTAGGAATAAAGGGGAATAAAATGGAAAACAGTTCGAGACTTGAACGACGGCAGAAAAGAAAAGAAAAAGCAGAAGAGGGGGAGGAAGGCACACAAGAGTTCAAGTGCTTGTGGATGGCAAAAATCTCCTTCGGTTCAAGGGTTTCTCATGCTTTTCTTATCTTTAATTATGTTTTCCATGATTATGTGTTTCTAAATTCTTTTGCTAAGGCTAGAATGTAGCCATACAAGAATATTTTGTGTTTTTAGCTATTTGATTATCCAAGACAATATATGTTATGTTGAATCTCAAATTTCGGGCTTAATTCGCTTGTTCTTTCATTCTTGACGATTGGCCATCACTTGTATGAATTATTAAGTGTTTGTTGCAGGTTCATAGCATACACCCATGTTATGTTCTTGATCGAATCATGAATTTGAGATCACAATTTACTAGAAGTATACACCATGTTCTAGGTTTTGTGTGTGAAATCTAGGCATACACCATGCTAGGTTGCTTCTTAGAAGAATATAATTTGATGCATACATCATGATTGGATTATAGAGTTGGGAAACTTAATCATCAACATAGGAATTGTTAATTGGATAGTTGATAGATAAGAGTCAGAATAGGATTGTTATTGGTGAAAGTGGATGTCTTAGCCTTTAATGTCTTGTTTGTTCTTAAGTTTTATTGTTATTGGTGTATTTATTTTCTTAAACCTTCAGCAATTTTATCCTTTAGTATTAACAACCAATATTTCCTTTAACTTTCTTGCTCAATAATATTTTCAATTTCATTTGTGATTGAAGTGGTTAGTTATCAAATTAAATCACCTGTTCCTTGTAGGATTCGACTCTGTACTTGCACTTCTATACCATCTACAAACCGTGCACTTGTAGATAAATGTGATTAGAATTAATCTATTTTAGGTTGCTCTAATTTACGCATCACTAGCACACAAGTCGGAGTTGCCTAATGCAACTTGTACGACAAGACTACGTGTAATCATAATATACGCTTTAGTTCTACAATCACATGAAGACTGGCGCTATTCGCGGTCACATACAAGTCGGAGTTGCCTATTGCAACTTGTATGACAAGATGTCAAAGTTGCCTATTGCAACCTGTACGACATGATTGGCACCTACTTGGATCTAAGGTGAGCGTGCGGTGCAGATGTGAACATACACGTGAAAGATTGGCCTTGGCCCTGGGCGAGCACTAACACCGGGTGCAGCAATGATGAGCAGACTACATAAATATAAGCATGCCATAACGATTCAATAATTCTGGTCAACATAATAAACTTACCTGCGCATCCCGTAGTATTATTTTAGCATTTCACAACAGTACAACATTTCTTATAACATTATTTAATCATGGCATAATAGGTATAAATCAATAAAACTTTATATATCATATATATGAAAACAAATGCCCACTCACTGATACGTCAATGGATCGTAGCCTCCTAGCCTCGCTTGTCCTCGTACATCCTCAGGATAAGTCTCACCTATGTAAGAAATAACTAACTAATTAATTAATAAGGATATAAACAAAAAGGCTAGGAAAAAAACCCCCATAGTTTGCTCAAACGGAGGGTTTAAATATACGAAAACGTTCTACTCGAGGACGTGGACCCATACATGTCTACCACTTGCCGGCCAGTGGCCAGACGCATCGTCACGCTCTGCCAGGTCACTGCCACATGCGCCTGACACGTTTGACAAACTGACAGAAGAATATTCCATCAGATTTGATGGAATATTCCATTAACCCTAACGACTTCAGCTACCTTTAATGGTGTCAGAATTTTTCGTTAAGTTTGACGGAATATTCTTTCTTCTTCTCTGGTGGACCTCCGCCGCCATCTGGTTCGTCGAAAACTAGAGAATTTGGCCGAATTCCAGAGAAATTTCAAACTTTCATATCTTTTTCATTTCTCAACCATTTTTGACAAACTTTATATAGACTCTCGGCCTTACTTTTGTTGTCTCAAACCCATGGTTTTCCTCGTCGACTCCACTTCAAAACTAGGCTAGTGGCCTTGGGGAGTCGCTTAAATGCTTCCAAACCTTCTAAAAATGTGCAACTCGAACGGAAAATAGTGGAGAAAATCACCCCTGGGTCAAAGCTTCCAAGTTGCTCCGAGTTGAACACTCAAAACTCGTCCATTTCGTGATCGGTTGGTATGGATGTGTTCGTGGGAACGAGAGGAACACGATGGTGGTGGTTGCAAGCTTGATCTGTGAAGATCTTTGATTGGCTGAGGAGAAGAAAAAATCTAATTGGGTGAGAATTAAGGAGAGTGATTGATTGGTGGGTAAAAACAGGTCACGGGTCCAGTTTTAAAGAGGGAAGGGATCAGCTTTCATGCAATATAAAACTACAAGAAACCTATAAAATCTGACTCACCCTATCTAAAACAGTGTTTCCAACACTGGATAATTTGCACACGCGTGTACAATTCTTCCCGTTGTTACTTTAAATAAACGTAACATTTTCGTTACAAGTCCGTTTTGGGTCTAACTCGCGCTCACGTGTTCATGACAACGAGTATTATTTAATTATGATAACAAGAAAATTAATTAAAAGCCAAATAAGTACATCCACATCACTTTACTAACAAGGACATAAATGTCAACTTACACACTCAGGGATAGAATTACATAAAAAAATTAGGGATGGGTCGTCACATTATGTGAGACCTATATAAATTTCTTGTAATGTATTATCTTACAAATTTGACAAATTATTAATTTTACACTTTATTCCCAAATCGAAACCGAACGTAAAAATTATTAACCGAAATTATTAATTTAACGGGTATAAAATTACCGAAGTTCTACTGTATTGTAACTCAATCCAAAGCAAATAAATATTCTAGTGACAACAACTGATGAGGTACATTAGGGATCACTAAACATTGTGAAAGGATTCACAAAATCCCAAATAATTTGTTATTTGCTACCTCCCCGTAGCACATAGGGTGTGCCGTAAGACTCAGGGCCGACACAACATTCTCATACAACTAATCATTTTAATACTCTGTTTAGTTAGAAACCACGCTACTAGACTCGACAGATTCATTAATATTATCAAGACCAGTAAATTATTGAAGCACATGATGAGAGTAATAAGAGGAGGCAGAGTTCTGTGTGTCTAAGATGAAGGGTGTCGGTAGCACAATGGGCCACCAGACGTCTAAGAACAAGACACACCTTGCGTGCAATTCCAAACTAAATAATGGAGCTATTACATTTCCTATAGGTTAACAGAATTATATGTAACTTGACAAAACACGGTACGGTTATTTTTATCCCAGTTCGAAACAACAGCGACTTGTTTTACAGTCCATCCACTCCGATCAGTCCATTCACTTGTAAGGAAATGCATCACGAGCGAATCCCTGTCATCACTTCTATAACTTGAATACTCGGCCTTTGTTTATCACTTTTCGGAGAGCAACCTTTGCTTCCTCCAGTGTCTCGACAGAATGGCCTTCGTCAAATGATATCCTCTGTACGTTGAACTGCAAACGGAGCAGAAGATCATTTTTAATCGTAAGAAACCGGGTAATGTTAGAGATTTAGAAGGTTGTTACTTTAGAAACCTACCTGTGCACCTTGGCGGACCCGAATATCAGTTCCCTTGCTGTCTATGGATATGAGAGCGGCATCATCCACCTCAGACTCGGCGGATAAAAGCTCTTTTAGGGGCTTCGAAAACATTGCATTGAGTTCCTAGATGAATAGAAAATTAACAGTGAGTAGGCCTAACTGGCAAAGAGGAGTGAAATCTGCAAAATTTACTTGGGGAAAACAACAATCAACTTAAAGGCCCCATACAAGCAGATAAAGACGAGCACACTAAAAGTTGACCAAAATCTGTCGACAGCATAATCAAAACACGAAGGAAATATCCCTTGCAGCACTATGCATACGTGTGGTTAAGATTATTGAAAATTCAAAAGTTCCTATTAGCCTTTACATAATTTTCTCTCAAATAAAAAAAAAAAATTGAGAGTGTTTACCTTCAGGTTCTGCTCCCCTCCATTAACTGCAATCCTATCAGGCTGCAGGGCCTCGTATTCTTTGACGTCGACCCAAGCAACAGTGCCAAAGCCACCAATGAAATATATGTCGCTGCAAGAAATCAAAAGAAAGTTTCAGCATGCCAAGAAATGCATTTAGTACCACTTTTGATCACCTCAGAAAACATGGAAATATTTGGCCAAGGAGTTTTACTTCTACATGGTCAAGGCATCACTTAATTCATCGTTAGGTATAAATTCCCACTCCAACACGCATTATTATTGTGCCCTAAAAGTTCCATTCTGTAAGAACAAGCAAAATAGAAAGGCAGCATCCGGCACCGTGGATTCTACCTAATGATTCATGGTCAAAACTTTACCACGTAATAAGAAATACAACTAGCCCGCCCCAGTTGTAAATGGACAATGCTTTTAAGAGGACATTGACACAGGCATACTTCAGGAGTCCGTAAAAGGTTCCCTGTCCCAAAATGGTTTTGACAATTTATGGTTCGGAAGAGCCTAGCAGTCAAAAACCAATTACAGACACAATGCGCAGAAAACAGCATGAAACACGAGAAATTTTTTAGTCATGGAATCAACATAAACGACACTAATTACTCAAACCAAAACAATTCACCAACCTTATGTTCTGCATCCTGAAGTAGTAGAAGTTTCCCCATTGTTGAGAAGGCCCCTGTTGATGCTTTGCTATGTATTGCTTATGAGCCCATTCCTACAATCACAGCCAAATGCAATGAACCTACTGCTAATTGTCTGTCCTCTTATCACACACATTTAACTTTTAAGCTAGACATTCAGCAGCAACAGCTGCGAGTTATAAATACGCTGACAACTCAAACTTTTCATGACCGGATTCTAAGAGCAAACTGCAAGTCAACTATAGAATTAATCCAAAAACGAAGAATTGACCCCAAACATGAGCTTCAAGCACCTAATCTTTTCACTACTATCTGCTAAATCATTCATTTCACATTTCTTACAGGTGAGAGCTTTTTGTTGCAGATCACCACTGTGGCTAGAGGAAAAAAAATAGACTTGTGCCCAGGTAACCAAATACATCCTTGCCAGGGTATGAGTTAGAAAATCACCTGTTCATGCTCTGGAAGTGGGTAGACATCACCAAAAATGGTTACCCTTGCATTTGACAAGCCGCTCCATCCAGGAATCTACACGAGCTAACTTTTAACAATATCCAAATGGAGAAAAATAGAGTAAAAAAGCCAAAAGAGAAGCAATCAAATCACTAACCTGCACAACAAGTGTGCATCTTGGATCAGCTAACAAATTCCGAGTATGGATGGCCAACGGTGAAAACGAAAATATAGGATCTACATATCATCAACGAATAACAATAGATTGATCAGTCGGGGGTCCAAAATACAGATCAAAGAAAACAAAATGGTCCAATATAGAGGATGACGGTTCAAATTGTCAACCACCGTAAACAAAGACATAATAGACTGCTAAACAGCCTCCATGCAACTGTTCAAGTTGTACAAATAAAAAGGGCTAATTATCACAAACGGTCCTTGATGTTTTGGAGATCCATAATTTTCGTCCTTTATATTTCACTTCAATCAACTCCATTACGGTGCTGACATGGCACACGGGACCCACAACTATACTTATTTGTTGCTATGTAGATGTTAGGGAAAAAAATCAACTTAATAGCTCAAAGTTTTTAAAACCATAATGAAAAACTTAAAACCTTCATCCCCCAAAACTTAAAAACCTATTAAAAAACACAACCCAAAACTCAAAAACCTCATCCGCCATGAAAGAATCCGTGGTTGAATCAATTGAGCTGAGGCACATCTCTGAATCTCCAGTCCAACTTCATCTTTAGTGATGGCCTGAGCAGAGAGGGGATGCAAATGGTTTATCATTTTCCTTTACCTATTTTTTTTTCAGTTTTGAAATTAAAACATTTCTTAAAATTTAATTATTTGCTTAAATCCATGTGGCATAATGTGATTGGTGTTGTGGGATAGCACACATGTGCCAATTCAGCACACAAACAAAACTTTAAGCAAATTTGGATGAAAGGACCGAACTGATGTGTGGGAACAAACATGGAGGACCAATGAATCAAAACATAAAGGAATAAATTATGATTTTCCACAACATTAAGGACCATTTGTGATAAAAACCCAATTTAAAAAAACATAGTGAAGGGGATTTTTAGAGACCACCTAGACTTTAACTTTATATGCAAATTCTTTTTTATTGAAGGATGACAAAAAACTGCTTAATAAAAATGTTAAAGCTCATTAACTTACGCCCTGATGAATCAGGTGCAAAATCAACTAGAGAACCAAATGGATATCCTTGTCGCCTGTGGTGCATGCAAGACATTACGGTGCACAAATGAGCAAATCTGGCCTTGAATGAGGAAGCAAGACGTATTTAGCAGCTTAAAAATAAATAATCAGCTAGCATATTAAATCCTCTTCAAGTGAAAAAAAAATAATATATATATATATATATATATATTATATATATTCATTCAGAATCAACAAAAATAACAAAAAGTGTCTACCTGCTCCATAAGATTGCGTACAGCTAAGGCGGGACGGGGTAAACCATGAGCTGAAGTTGCACTCTGCACCCCGCCAGAAATTGGAGTTCTAAAGAGCCCAGCTCTTGTTCCACCTCCTGCTCCACTAGCAGAAGGGGATGTAAGAGACATATCTACCATTAATGCCTCATCCACATTCTTCTCACTACTATCGAAGTGATTTAAATCGCCCTTCAGAACAAGAAAAACAGAAACAGACTATGATCAGATACAATTATAAAATCAGAGAACTATAAAACATATATGTACTGAAAAGAAGGGACTAACACTGCAAAACAAATGTGAGAGACCTAATTGTCAATTCTTAAAAAAAAAAAAATTCAAGCGTTTATAATTCCACACTGAAGCTATATGTAAAAGAACTACATGTCAAAAACCACCTTGTGCTGAAGAGGTCATTCCAAAGCAACATTTAGAGGTTGGTTCGCTGTTAAAAATCATTTAACCACAAAACAAAGGGTGGCAAGTTGGCAAGGGAGGCAATGCTCTATGGTGTCCCCAACTCACCTACTTTCTGAATGCAGTTTTAATAGCAGGCTATGGAGGCATACAATTGAAGGTTTTAAGTTGAATTTTCAGTGATATTCATTGTAAATTGGCTAAATGCGCATCGCAAAAAGTTTCTCTCTACTAAATCGTCTGCCTGTTTCGGACCAATCTGTTGTATGACCTATGGTTCGAAGAAACCAGACAGTGTTCACATATTGCTCCAGCACCGGGGCGTATTTCTAGAATAGCCCTTGTCGGTGTCATTGCTGAGCAATGTTTTGGAATATCAAGGATTTAACTCACAATTTTAGCTATCTGTGATAGTTGCCAGATTCCTTTCTTGATAAAGATTGTTGATTTTTCAGCAAAACCAATATGTCGGTTCCAATACATGTCAAATTCTTCACTTTTTCTTCGATCACAAAAGTTTAAAAGTCCTACAAATCAAAAACTAAACCAATATCAACAACTTGCACTCCAATTTCCACTTATTTGCACTTCCCACAACTACTTAACACAAAATACGATTTAATCAAAATTTTAAATTAATAAAAAAAACATACACGGACAAATTAACACAATTGCTGAAAACTTCACAAATTAAAACACGGACAAACATATGCAGAGAAAGAAGCAAAAGCAAATACCTGAGAGAAAGAGAGAGTGTCTTCGGAAAGCAAGCCGAACCCATTATTCGGAGGCCTCAGCTCTTCACTTTCGCCGGACCCAGAGGCCTCCCCGGACAGAGCTCGAACGCGAAGCCCAGAAAAACGAGAACTTTGACTGACTTTCACAAACCCACTTCGATTGTTCGGCGTTCTGATTGAAGTGGGGTTGTTCAGAACTGGGTGTACCTCCGGAACGAAGGCAGAGCTTGCGAGGGCTTCCATGGAGAATATACAGAGACAGAAAGACGGTGGATTAAGTGTTTGGTTGGATGTACTGTAAACTGCGGAGGCGAAACTGAGTGACAGATTTTGGGGTTGGAGATGGTAATTGTCTTGGGTTTGTCTTACGTTGTTCGCCCCAAAATCTGTTTTTTTTTTTTTTTTTTTTTTTTTTTTTTTTTTTTTTTTTTTTTTTTTTTTTTTTTTTTTTGGTAGTTTTTGGAAGTGGCATGCAATCGAGGAAGGTGAATAAATTGGGTCCTAAACTATGGTGAGATCTCGCGGATCGTTTTAGAGAATCTTCTGCATAATTGTGTATAATATCGAGAGTTGGGACAAAGTATCCTAAACGATGGTGCCAATCCTTCACCTGATAAAAATCTGCGACAGGAGTCTACAAAAGGAAATCTCCTTAGTAGGTTTTTCAGTTTCAATGGGACAAGGACTCCCAATCCAAATCAGAATTGGTTTCAAGGAACGGGGTACTATAAATACAAGGAATCATGCAACAGAAAAGGACCTTTAGAATCAGCATACAATTGCCCTGCGCAAAACCTCTCAAACATCTTGAGATTTTTCCTTTTCTTTTCCTGCCGACACACCTTCAGTTTGGATAAACAGCACTGCTGCCGCAGAATAAGCCGACCGAGGGGCACCTTCAGTTTGGATAAACAGCACTGCGTCGAGGTCGACCGATTATCTATCTAAGTCTCGGCCGAGAAGGGTTTTCGAACCCTTGTTGGTAGAGGTCATCTTACTAGCCTTTTCGGCATAGTTGGGTGTTACGAATTGTATTGCTCGGCGCCTTGGACGCCGAGTGATTTTATGATTGGATACTCGCAAGTAAGTTTCAGGGTTCGGCATTCCAACGGCCGAACTACGTTTACCATCAAGACATATATCACATTCGAGTACCTGTGCCCATATAGTTTGGTCTCGATTCGGCATGCTTATACTCTTACGAATATAATCACAGTGACCGAATCAGGCTCCGACGATTTGTGAACTCCGTCGAATTAGTAGCCTTGTCTTCAGGCTATAGACCCCAGAGACCGAGAGCGTTCCTTCCTCGGTCGCAATCGCAAGATACAGAAGTTAACAGCGCGCTCAATGCGACATTATCAAATTTTACTCCTCGGCCGAGCTTGGCCGACGAGTTGGCACGCCCCGCATTCAACCGAAGGACGTAGTTAGCTTATTAGTTACTCGGCCTGCGCGCCACGTGGTTTTGTAATTTTTAGGGTGAATAGTTATATATCGTGTAACAAGTTTTTGTTAAGTACTATTTATAGTCAATTTTAAATAAAAAAAAATTTACAATGATTTTTGTCCAATGAAGATCCTCCTAGCTAAACTATGACCTAATAACAAATAAAGCTCAACCATGAATAATTCTTGCCACCCGAGGTGCCATTTGTCTCGGTCCCACATCCACCATTTCGATCATAGGATAAAAGTAAAATGACAATGTTTAGATAGGTGTAAGTAAAACAATGTCGTTGTAAGGATTATTTGGTTCAATTTCAGAACCACTGAAAGCCTTACCAAACCAACAAATTTCAGTTTGGTTTTTCAAATTTAGTTATTTTTTTGGGTTTGGTTTTTTTTTTTATTTAGGTTCGGTTAAATTTGGTTTTTTTAGCATTTTAAATTTTACTCTTTTAGAATATTATATGATATTATTCTCGGCACTTTAAACAAACATTATAATATCCAAAAATAACACTTAAAAGCACATTAACAAAAAAAAAAAAAGTGTTGTTATTTCACTTCAAAAGTCTAATTATACATTTCTCATACATGTATCTTTTTCTAAATATAGAAAACTTGAGGTTCATAATAAAAATCTTTTAGTGCTAGTAACAGCCAAAAAAAAAACAAAAGTATTAATTTCAAAGTCTTTGTCAATGTATTAATGCCCCTCTCCCCGGATCTCTTCCTCCAAAATCTAAAGATTAAGTGATCTGAACTTTTGAAATTTGATCCAACGACTAAAAATTATTGTAGCTTTTAAAATTTTTTACTAACTTCTCTGTTTTTAGCCGTTGGATCAAATTTTAAAGGTCCAGATCATTTGATCCTTAGGCTTTAGAGGAAGAGATCCGGAGAGGATCTATTTTCATAATTGCACAATTATTTGACTGTCATTATGAGATGTGACTAATCTGATTATAATAAATGAAAACTGTAGTATAGAGTCATCCGATGAAATGGAAAACAAAAATTGCAGTGACAAGATACATATCACACAGGCAACTTCAATTTTCTGTCCATTCAGTTCATTAGGGCACAATTGCAACCTCGCCACTCAATTATAAGAGTACTAGATAGAATCGAATCTAAGTAATTTATTTGATCACCTGACTTCGAATTATCTTAAGAGAATCCACGTTTGGCTCTTTTGAAGGGCATACATTTCTTCTTCCGTTGTTCTGAGTTACTTTGTACAGAAATTTATACAGAATTACTTTAGATTGACTAAATCCTACGTTAGATCGACTAAATTAATCAATTGACCAATAGGTCCCACGACGTTAGAAATGGTACAACCTCTCTGTCTATTGCTTTTAGTTCTTTTGTTTTTTTCTATTGAAGTTTATTTCGGACCAAAAAAAAGGAATCAGATCTTAAAAGTTCTGCCTGCCGGACTGGCAATCCTCATTACTTTTTTACCAATCTTCCCCTATCATATACCCTGCCATGCGCCTATTGATATCTTCAAAAGATATTGCCGCATAGGCTATTAGGCCTCAGGAACATCAAAACTGCAGCAGATTTGACTATGCCCCACTGCAGTAGATTTTACAGCATGGCGCGATTTACATGTTTTAAATATATTTATTATGTTAATTGATAAAGAAAAAGTTAAATATTTGAAGTAAATGAATAATTTTAGATCATGCTAGAAAAAATCCCTCACAAACCAATCAAAGAAGCCGATTCACATAATAAAATCGGTCTATTGAATTTACATTAAGAATAGGGAAAATAATATTTAATAAACAACTAATTTAATCAAATTATTGCTAGCCCATTACGAGGTTAACCACACCCCCATTATCTTTACTGTAGATAATATCGTTTGTTTAAAAAAAAAATCATTGATAACTAATTTAATCACCTTGTTATGAACGTGCGAAATACCTTTTTTATAACCGGCATTACATGCCTTTTAAAATGTTTTGAACATGTTTTAAAAAAAAAAATAATACTTAATAGACAACTAATTGAATCACATTATTGCTAACTTATTATGATGTACTAATTATAAAAAATGTACAAAAAGAATTAATTATTAAAAAACACTCTTAAAATGACGAAAATACCCATGCATTATTTGATGCATTACTTTGGGTTGCTTTTGAATTTTTTTCTTTTGGAGGCATTTTTATCCAAAACTTTTTGGTGAAACTTGTGACCCGCCCGACTAGCGCCTAACGTTTTATAGAATCTTGTTCTTAATATGTTATGTTTTTTTTTAAGGAGTTTAACTGAAAGAGCTTCACTCAATTTTATTTTAATTAAAAGCACTTAAAAAAATTTATTTAATAAAAATGACACATATTACCCACTAATTTAACTTTTAGGGTTAATCTCAGTTTACTATCCTGAAGTTTATTAGTTTTCAACATTTGGTACACCAAGTTTTTTTATCCCAGAATGGTACCTGAAGTCATAATTCTAGGACACTTTCATACATCTATCAAGGTTGTTATTAGATCCGGCATTTTGATTGTACACAGGTTGTTGATGTAATGTAAATAGAATGTACATGCAAACTGAAATTCTTATTCTACCATGTCGGTTCAACTATTTGTTTAGTTTTTGAATTTATTTGGAAATACTTGTGTTGATTTGTGGCTTTGTGGGATTTACTAAAGCAAAATGTGCATTTTCCAGATTGATGAAATTGAGGATGTGATAGTGTTGCTGCTGCCTATTAAGTATGATTTATTGCTAGTTGTTGTTATCCAGATTTTGTGTATCTTTTTGTGGAAATAATTCATAGCTGTTGTGGATTGCAGTCTCAAAATCCGCAGTGGGTAATTTTTCTAGCCTTATCCATTTCTTAAATCCATTTCTGTTTTCTTGAATTTAAGGTGCTCGTACTGTTTCCATTTTTCAATTTACGTCTCATTTTTGTCAGCTGAATTTGAATTTGGGAAACAGAGAGGCAAAAAAAGGTCTTCAATTTGTCAACAATGCCAGATGCAGAATTCTCTTGAGAGTTCTTCAGTACTTTAGTGTAAAGGTTGAGGGACCGCAAAAAAATGCATGCCGGTGAGAGGTGTACCATTGACAGTGAGGGGTGATGGAATCCGGGTCGGGTGCATTTCGACCCGCCCACATAGTGGGCTTCATAAAGATAAGTGGGCGATGAAGACTTGGGTCAGAACAGAAATTGAAACTTGATTGGCCCAAACTACTGGCCCTATAGTATGAATCTTTTTTAACTCATATTTCATAGGGAGCAAAGGAGAAATTTTTCAGTATGACGGAGACATAAGTGGTACACCATGTATTTTTATATATGTTGTTAAATTTTTTATTTTTTAAGTTATTAACTTTTTAACACACATATCTCACCATTTATATAGTGACACGTGGTATACCACTCTATGTACCAGTCACACTGAAAAATCTATAGGAAGCAAAGATCCTAATCTACTCCAAATTTATAAAAAGATGAGAAAATTTGTATAAGTAGAAGTAAATAATGATGCCTTTGAAGTATCAATAACATCGTCATTCTTCAAATACAAAAAGTAGTAAATATATAGGAAGAAAACAAGAGTCGAACTTTTACAATGCTTTACCTTTTGGACTAGAAAACCAACATAAAAAAGTTGGTTTTACTCGAACGAGGGACGAAAACATAAGCAACTGTGTGCAAGTTTGATTCCAACAAGGTCATCATCGCCTGTATTTCTTATTAACACACCCAATGAGTTTGATATCATCCGTGTGAAATTAATGGGTGCTCATCGTCGGGTCTGTTTTTTGGTGCCTTGAAAAAGCACCACGCCAAGAATATATTTTGAGTCTTTTAAAAAACTAGCATTTCAAAGTTTTCAGCCAATGACAAAACGTTCGCTGTTGCACCGCGTGAGCCAATGACAAAACGTTCACTGTTACACCGACACGCGGTGCTACGCAAATGTACGATAAAAGTGCTTACGGTTAACAAGATTATGATGAATTAACATCTCAACTAATAAAAAATACACATCTCAACTCTCTCCCTCTCTCTCTCTCTCTCTCTCTCTCTCTCTGTATCATTTTCAGAAGGCCTGACAAAATATCTCCTTGCTTTCTTCAAAAACCGGTCTCCCCAACCTCCGACCTTGTTCCCACAGCTGCCTTTTTCATTTGTTTTGGTACAACTTGATCCCATGAACCCTTCACCAAACCCAACCTTTTTTTTCAAGTTCATGGATTCATTTTTCCTCTTGTCCCGAGCACTAAAGCTACTTCCCTCTCTAAGGTTTTGTCCAAGCTTTTAGATTTGAATGGTTTTTCTTCTTCACTCGAGCGATATTCTAATCTAAGCTAAACTGCGGGGAAGCTGGATTTGAACTTTAGTGCGTAGGGGAAGCATTGTCCAGCCAACTTGACTACGCCCAAATCTCCGCATTTGAATGGTTTGAAAGCTTCCCTCAATGAGAACATCAAACATTTCTTCGTGGTGTTCGGGTTATCTTCTATGGATCCCAGCACTTTTGGTTACTTTAGTCTTGTTGGGAGCAATTTCAAGATCATCTCCCAATGTGTTTTCTAGATATGGAAACAAATACCAACTCTCAGTGGGAGTGCCATTGAAGGGGAATGGCAACCCCCCTATCTTTGCTTATTGGATATGTGGAACTGAAGGAGAAAGCGAGAGGATTTTGAGGCTTTTGAAGGCAATATATCATCCGAGAAATCGGTATTTGCTGCAGCTTGATTCATGTTCGTCGGATTATGATAGGGGGCAGCTAGCTCTCTCTGTTCAAGCCGAAGAAGTTTTTCGATATTTTGGAAATGTTTATGTTGTGGGAAAAAGTTTTGCCCTCAACCAGATGGGGCCTTCTGCTCTTGCTGCCACACTTCATGCTGCAGCATTGCATCTAAAGCTCAGTACAGATTGGGACTGGTTCATCACTTTAAGTGCTTCTGACTATCCCCTCATGAATCAGGATGGTAAGTGCTTTCACATCAAAAGCACTTATATTACCGGCAGAGTCACTTGATGCTGAACTTCATTTAAATCAAGCTTGAAAGGTTTAAGGATTTAAATATCTGTTTTGGCTTATAAATTTTATCTTCGGCTTTCAGTACCCTCAGGCCGAGTTTGATAACCATTTCGTTCGTTTTCCATAAAATGCATGTACACTTAGGAACTTGATCACTTTAGTTTGGTAACCCATCTTGGTTAATTGATCAACGTGATTCACTGACTAGGAATTTTTTCCAACTCTTTCTGTTCAGATCTGCTGCATGCTTTCACTTTATTACCAAGGAATACCAATTTTATACATTTTACGAACAAGACTGGCTGGAAAGAGTAAGAAAAATCAGCCTCTTGATGCTCCCAGTAGTTTGTTTCTCTGATCTCTTTTTTCTTCGAACAAATTAGGCACATTGAGTTTTTCACTGACAATTTACGATGTCCTGCATTTTCTAAATGGAAGCTGATTGTCTGCAGGCAAACAGATCGAATCGTTAATGACCCTAACTTATATCTTCAAGAGGTTGCTCCACTTTTGTATGCTGTAGAGAAGAGAACCATGCCAGATGCTTTCAAAATCTTTGGAGGTAAGTTGCTCTTACTGAAATTGAGCACGAAATGAGTATTCAAAGAGAAACTTTTGAGCATGATAGTGATACTGACACGTAGTGTTACTAAAAAACTTCTCGTATTCAATGTGTTATAAGATTAAAACAGCTGCAAGTTGGAAAAATTCTAAAGTTTCATCATAACTTATGAAATGTGTAGGTTCGCCTTGGACGATTTTAACCAGAGATTTCATGGAGTACTGTGTAAAAGGCTGGGATAACTTTCCCAGGAAGTTACTGATGTACCTCAGCAATGTGCCCTACCCTCTTGAATCCTACTTCCACACAATTATCTGCAGCTCATCTGAGTTCAAAAACTCTCTAGTGAATAATGACCTAAGGTACATTCTTTGGGACACGTCTGCACTCGGAAAAGCAAAAGTCCTTAACATGTCACACTATGATCAAATGTTAGCAAGTCGAGCGGCCTTTGCTAGACCGTTTCAAACAGATGATGATCCAGTGCTAAACAAGATCGATGAGAGTGTTTTGAATCGGACTTCGAAAGGGTTGGTACCGGGAGAATGGTGCCCTGGCATAGGGAGAAGTAAGAGCTTAGAGAATTCAACACCTGATAAGGAAGAGTTGTGTCCAAGTTGGGGCAACATTAACCATGTCACCCCGGGTCCTCGTGGCGTTAGTCTCCAAGAATTTTTGGCTAAGCTTGCTGTAGAAGGAAGATTTACAACCGGTCACTGCCAAGAACACTGATAATTTTCCAAGCTTGCATTTGGAATGTTTCTTGAATCAGATGATGATGATGATACATATATATATGATCATGATACACGTGTGTGTGTGTGTGTGTGTATTACAAAATAACACTTCAAACTACATTTGAGTAGAAGGCTTGGCTTTCTACTTGATTGAGGTATGTATGGTTAGTGAATTAGGAAGATAAGGTCTGCATTCTCACCCAGTGCATTTGATGACAGAGTCTGATGTTGGATTAAACTTTCTTTTAGCCTGTATTCGAAAAGGCTGTGAAAGTTGTAAACTGACAATAATTTTTAGTATTATTGAACGATATCGAGGACATGTGGTTGGGTTAAGTTACACAATTAGCTAACACTAATTCAATATTGAACTCGTCATTTTATAGCAATCTATACTAATACTTCACGTTTACAAGTACAGATAAATATTATTTGACCGTAAAACCAGTAACAGCTGATAATTGTCTTTCATTATTCAAAATCATTGAACTATGTGCATATATGGGGCTACCTAGGACATTTTACCCGCCCCTTGCACCGAAATTTTGAAGTCCCCTCCCTCTAAACTTTGTAATAAAATGCTCACGAATACAATAGGACGATATTTTCCGATAATTTTCTTATGTTTAGGCTCACTGTTTCCTTCAACCTCCATATTTTGTACCTTGGAGGCTTGAACATATTTTTTAAACAATGTCTTGATCAAAAAACAAAAAATTTTTTTAAACAATGTCAAGGTACACACAAACACACACACACACACACAAACATACATATATATATATATATATATATATTATTTCTTGACGTGTGGTCATACATTCTTCTCTCTCTACTAGTGCAGAGAAAAACCTAGAAACGTCACTGGTCATGGATGTAGAAAATAATTGACATTCACCCAACTAAAGATGTGTCTTTTTCATAAAAAAATAATAAAAAATGTGATGCAGGGTCAGCATCTTAAATTGAGATTTCACCGATTCTTTGTGTCTAGAGTCGATGGATCCGGAGATTTGTACCATTTATTTTAAATTATGCGGTTCTCATTAGCCTATTCCTTTACTCATTTCATACAAATCAAGGATGCGAATCTCTCTTTCTTCAACGACCTGAATTTTCAAATCCTTAAACTCTAGACACATAAATTCAAAGACGATCTCGACATCGTTGCTTCTGACCGCAGCCACAACCGAACTTTTTGAATGTTTCTTTCTCCTCCACCAAACCTTCTCAATGCCTCAAAAATCAGAAATCCCCACATTTCAGTTCTCACCTTTATAATTATTAACTGTTAATATCTGCTTTACTTTATTATTGACCCCTCTTTGTAGAGTGACTCACACGGAACAACCATACCACTATTGTACGTTTTGGTAAAATAATACAATTTTTTGTGCACATAATAGTCCATTATTGGACCGACATGCCAGTGTTGGTGAATCTGATGTATAAAAGTTGTGAGGCTTGTAATTCGTGATTGGCATGGGACTTTGAGGCAGCCGGTGCGTGGAGGAAAGAAGGTATTGTGTCTGTAGCAGATCGAATTGATGGCAGTTTGGGAAGGACTCTGGTTAGCAGAGCCAGAGCGTATGGGTAAACAACAGATTGTGGTCAATACTGACTATGCTCATTCTCTTGCTGCCATTAACGACCACTCTAGGGATTGCTTTGCCGTTGGTCTGATTGCGGGAGGACGTGTGTCCCTAAAAGCTGTAATGGGGTGGCCCATAGATTAGCTTAGTTTTCCGTGTCAGACAATGAAGTAATTTTGTTCGAAAATCCAACTGATATTATCAACTGATATTAACACGAACTTCTTATCCAAGATTTGATGTAATTTTCGTTTGAGATCATTAATATATCGGCTCTTTAAAATTTAAAAAAAAAATTATCAATTCCATTATTATGTCAATCAACTCGCCTATTTAGCATTCCCGTATCTTCTGGTTGCTTTATGTAATGAGAGCTGGCAAATTTACTACCACACTATATAAAGAAGAATCTCTCAAGATTTGAAAGTTTACTTGGTCAGATGAGCAAGTTAACTTGATGAGTGATAAACCTTGGAGAGAAGTATCGAGTGTATTTTACGGAAATGTCAACAAATTTGCACCCACCACAAATATGACACATGCATCTTATTATGCGGTAACACATCTTAATATCTTTTACCACATGATAATGCTTATGAGAGAGAGAGCATATTTCTTTTATAGCAAGGAATGCTAAAACACACCATGGACACAAATTTGTTTACAAATCATCTATCGAGAGGCTAATTTTGTGGTAGATGTTCTTGCAGATGCGGGTCACTTTTTTTTTTTTTTCCGCTAGCATAATTAAGTTTTCCATGTTAACCAATGTTGGTGTTTTCTTTTTTTAGTTAATCAATAATTTAACAAGCTTTTGTCCATGACTTGGAGATCTAACAAATTAAAAGGACTGAATTTTACTAGACTAAAATAGTCATTGGCGGAATCCCATCATTCTAGTAAAAATGGATCTTTCTTTACAAAATTATGGTTAATTAGTTGTTGGATCCGTTGAAAGCAAAATCACAACCATCGCCGACTAAAGATTTGGTCCACATTTAAATCTCTTTTAACACATCACCATGGAAAAATTGGGCATGTGTGGCTAATTTTCCGCTCTCACATCTAAAAATGTGGATGAGAGGTCACTCTGAGAGTCAAACTCTTGTCGTATCGTGAATATAAAGTAAAATCCTCGACCATAAGACTTTGAGCCTTCGTGGTATTAGAGCATTAATAGCCATAAAACGGTCAAGAATTAAACCACTAATAAGAACCAAAATTAATGATGAAAATGTGGCCAAGATCGATCGATTTTCAAGAATTTCGGGTTGTGAATTGTGATCTTAAAAAAATTAGGAAAAAAAAAAACGAGATTACAAAGTTAATTTAATCCTTTCGCCCCCAGCTGGTGCCTAATTAAATGTTATACTGACTAATTAATGACCATCATAATTGAGTCTTGACACTTAGAGTTCACACGCGTACATTGCACTCGCACGTGCGAAAGGACTCCAAACACTCAAGTCTCAGCACTCTGCCCAGCCTTCCTCCAGATCGTCCCGTCGTGCGCGCCTAATCCTCAGCTCACTCCCGAGCTTAGCTTCAACGGCTAGGATCAGCTTAGCCGGCACTCCGGATAGCACCTCGACCCGTCTCAGATTCTGACACGTAGAAACCGACCTATCCCCACGGAATCTCAACCCGAACCAAAACGACGCCGCAAGGGATACTCTCAGAGGCACACCCGCCAACCGCTCCAGGCAAAATCCCGAGGCATTTGACGCCGTTGAAACCACCGCAGCCGCCAAATTACCATTCACCCCAACGTTCTTACACCAATTTACGAAATTACCCTCCGCTCTCGCATCCACTCGCCTTGAAGTTCTTGCTCGCGCACTCCGTACGCTATAATTTCTCTTGGCGCCGGAGAATTTGCACAGCATATTCCTCTTCGCGCCGGGGAATCTGTACGGAGTATTTGAACCGGAAACCTCCGTCACGGAGCCCTCGGATTTCGGATTCTCGTATCCGGTCTTTGTGGTCCCCATTTCTGTGCTGGATATGCAGGCGGAACAATCCGACGATGACGACATGGCGTCGCCGTCGCAATCTCCGGAAAAAATTTCAGGCGAGCAGGAGGAGCAGAGAGAGTGACGATCAGGGGTTTCAGCGACGGATTTGCAATTAGAGCAGAGAGGGTGGCGGACGTGGCGGGCGACGAGGAAGTTGGCCTGGTGGACGCGGGCGTCGCAGCGGGAGCAAAGGAAGGCGGAGTCAGAGGGGCAGTAGAAAGAGGCTTCCTGGTCGCAGAGTTCGCAAGCCCGGAAAAGTTTCTTCATTTCTTGATTTCCGGCGGAGAGCAGAAGAGGAATGGAAGTTGGGAGACGATTTGGGAATTCGGGGAGGTGGTGCGGTGAGAGGATATGTGGGTGTGGCGAGGGGGATTATATGGAGAGAAATGCGGTTATGGAAGATGAGAAGGTTGTGTGTGAGTTGAGTGTCTGTATTTTGGCTTTTAAGACTTCCTCCTCAAACACTCAACTCAGTCTCTGTCCACATACTAAAACCTCCTCCTCTCCCTTGAAATTTGCCCACATATGCTCTTATATATATAATAATATAATATTCCAACTTTCGGGTTTTGCAACCTTCACTCCTCTTACTTTTGATTATTGCATTTTATCCCCAATTAATTATTTTTCTTAGCAAACCTTCTATTATCGGTTTATATTAATACTAGTAAAGTAAACTTCGAATACGTGAAATCACCCAAAGTAATAAAGATCACTTGAAATTTTTTTGCTTTCTCTTTGTCTCCTTCCAATTATCTGTATTGTTGCGTTATATTTAGGATCATGTTCGACAGTTTTGGTTTGTCGTTTGCACTTGTGGGAGGAGATAAGAACACTCCAAAAATCACTTCCATGTATATAAGGTTATGAAGCATTTGAAAACGTTATGAAAGTGGATTTGGATGTGATTGTATGCGATACATTAGTTGTGAGGAATTGGTAACATTGTACTCTAGATGAATTTGGTTAGGCTCAAACAAGAGAGAAAAACCATAAGCAATTATGAGTTAGTGTCAATTGAACAACCTACCATTTTCTATAATTTTAATATGTTTTGACCCATTGATTTTACAGTTTTAAATTCTTTAAGTAACAGATAATAATTTTCAAAGTTCACACTGAGATTTTTAAATGCAAGAATATTGCTCGTTGCTTGAACTTTGAATTTGAATGTGTAGAGAAATGCCCTCAAGAACTAATTGCATTGGAAAAGAATCATAAGTAATATTTCAATTGCAGCATTTTATATAAATAATCACTGAGTTTGTAATATTTCCTCATTTATAAGGATAGTATCTTCTTATTAAAATATATTAAGAAAAACTAAAAATACACTGGTGTGAATTCGTTTCTTATTTTTTTCTCGCTATAATTAACTATCAAACCGGAGCTCTCCTAAAAACACATTGTGGCATTATTTGGTGTTGAGGGTGAATTCAGTAAAACGATAACAAAAATGAGCAAAAGGGAAAAATGGTGGTTTTTGAAATATTTTTTGGCCTTTGTAATATTAAACAATAAATGTGAGTTTGTTTTGATTAAATATCGGGCTGCTACCAACTGTGGTGCGAACGTGAGCCTCAAGGGCCCCAACGGCAACCAATTCTCCACCAGAAGTTGGAGCGGCATTTCGGAGACACGTGTCACTATTTGACATATATCACTATTTGACACGTATCACTACGTAACTACGTCACCATCATCGGAAATCACATCCTCCAAACACCTTGCAAAATTTTGGAAGTTGTTTTGCTGAGGACTTCTTGACAATGTCTGGAAGTTGTTTAGCTGAGGACTTCTTGACAATGTCATTTTAAAACTCAAAGAAACTGTTACGTTGAAAAAATATATTTTTTTTTAAAAAAGATAACTGGTAGCAAATTACGATTATCTAAATAAATAACCTTTTAGAGTATACATGATTTATCTTACAATGCCGGTCATGTTTGGATAAAAAAAAAGGGAAAATATTTTAGGTAGTCGACAATCGGTGTTTTGTTTTTCATCTTGAATTGCTATGATAATGAAAACTAACAGAAAACCTGTCGCAAAATCAGTAGCGATGTTCATAAACTTGACTCCATTTAAAATTTTAGTAGAATAAAGTTTGATTGTCTTTGTTTTACCGGCTGGTTTAAAACATGTAACGTAATTAGATTTTTTTTTTTTTTGAAAAGAAAAAGAAGAAAAAGGATATTTTTGAAGTTTGCGTAAAAACATAAAAGATCATAAAGTGGGGAAGAAAAACTTATAGTCAAGCAAGTTTATTCTAGATATTGTAGAGGGTGGTGGGGTCACGGCGGAGCTGCTTCATGGTCTTCATTGCGTAGAGAGAACGCTCCTCCGTGAAGCGTGACCCCCTGACCATACGGTAAACCGACGCGTGGCAAATCTCAGCTCACAGTTACTTTCCAACTCCAATTTCAACCACACAAGCGATTCAACCACTGCAAGTGACAACACAAGGAATTAAAAAATGGAGAAAAATTAAATCCGGCGGGGACCCTGCCGATGAGCGCCACGTGTGCGGCGAAAGCTGACGGCTGATGCAGAACCACGCAGTAGGGAGGGAGGGAGCGGTGGTTGTGCGCAAGTTTGGCGTGATTGGAATGGGAATGATTTGTAGGTGGGAGTCGTGGGACCGAGCTATCTTTTTTTTTTTTTTTTTTTTTTTATTAGAAAACTAATAAAAAAGATTTGGAAATTTTAAGTTTTAACAGTAAGGACAAAATAAAGAATAAAATAAATAGTACCAGGATTAACTTTTGAGGGTAAAAATGTGGTTTTTCGTTAAAGTGAACAGTATCGCGAGCTTTTCGTTAAAATTTCTTTTTTTTATTTGTCACTCAAATTGTATAATATTTTTTTTTTTTTCCTTTATAAAAGGAAAATGAGAACTCGTTGATGGCTTCGATATAACAGTTCATTTTTTTGGAATTTGAGAAGACTCCCAAAGGTATTTCAGTCTCTCTGACCACTATCTTGCGATTTATTAGCATCAGAAATTAAAGTCATGACTTATTCGTCCCCAACTACTGAGTCATCCATTGATGCTTGGAATTGTAATAATGCAAAAGGTATCGCACTATTGTCTGCACAAAATCAATGGTACAAAAAGCAATTGCATGCGAGGTTTGTTTTAGAGAAAGGTATCGTATTTCTCGTTTTTGAAATGTAACACTAGGTGTAGAATGGTTGAGATTTTGTTAGAAGAGTTTTGGGCAATGAGAGAACAACATAAATTGTAATGTGTCGGTTGTTTTTAAATTACGTAGGGGTAGTCTATATGTTTCTTAGAATCTCATAATAAGGTTTATTATGCTGGAACGTGTTGGTTGATTTTGATCGTTAATGTATGTGGAGTTACAATAAATTAACGACTAAATTTCATTGACACGTGCATTGATAATTGATAGTATTAGATTTTTATTCATAATATGTGACTTCAGTTTCATGCTAACATTGTTACATTGACATGCATATTGTAATAATACTTAAAGGAAATAGATCTTCATTTGTTTTTAGGAGAAACTATAAAATATTTACAGGACATGTTCTGCGTTGAATTTTAACTATATGAACTGACTACTTTTTAAGTTCCACTTTGAAGATATCATTGCAAAATATTATCAAAGTTGAAAATGATTGAGACGTCTAGTTGTGATCAAATAATTTGACGAATATGAGCTCGTTTGATATGTTTTTAAAATGATTGAAATTGTCTTTAATGAAAATATTTTTGGAATCAATCCTTAGTAAAAATGTGAGTAAATCCTAGAAAAGCACTTAAAGTGCTTCTTGGAAGAAGCACATAACCGGTGCTTCTTGCATAAAAGCACTTCAAGTGCTTTTGGAACCCAAAAATATTTTCTCTAAAAGTGCTTTTAGTCATTTTAACAGTATATCCAAACAAGCCCTACGTTTTTCTAAGAGATATTAAAATTCACTATGAGAATCTAATGGATAAAGTTTCGGATTGAACTGATTTTTTTTTTTTGCAAAAGATGGATTGATGAATGGAGACTTCAGTTTGTTGTAAAAGAATGCAAAACAGGCACCAGAACTAGTCTCCATTTATTGTATAAAAATGGAAATCCCTCTCTTAAGCAACATATACGATTGACTCAAAGTTCATCTCTCTCTCTCTCTCTCTCTCTTTATGCAAATCCAACATAAGTCCATCAATATACCATAATCCCCTAATTAAGCCAGATTACAATAAAGATTCTCAGGCAAAAGACCAATGCCCATGGTGTGATCCAAAAATTAGACTCGGGAAATCAATAAAATATGTTCGGTTGGTGTGCGCGACTAACCTTAACACTCCGTTGGTTATGGACCAAATTTATCAGTAATTTTGACATATGGTTTTGCATTTCTTGGATGATGCCTTAAGTTTCACGAGAAGAATATAAGAATGAATGTAAAGAAAGAAAGTACTATGGGCAGAGGGGGCGTTGAAGGGTAGCGAGAGGTGTAATTGCACAGGGCGGCGAATTTGGGGCCCCAACATTTTTTTGTCATCTAAAATTTATATGTAAATATTAAAAAAATATTTTTATTAGCATTTTAAAAATTTCATTGTGCACTCCTTATAAGAGTAAATTATTTTCTTTCCAAATATAAAAATTTAGAGTGCACAACAATATATTTGAAGTACCAATAACAACACCCTAATTAAAAAATATTTTTTTTAATTTTATTGTATAATAATGCTATATATTCAAGTGAAACTTTGAAATTAGAGTTTTTGAAACTTTTTTTTTTTTCTTGTTTGGTTGTTTAAGATTAAACTGTTTTTGATTATTCAATGAATGTTATGTTTGTATTTCTTCTTACTTATTATTTAATGACTTTGGAAAGTTACAATCAGTGAGTCCTAAAGTTTGTATTGATTTAAGTTATTGTTTTCTAACATGTGTATTGTCCTACTTTTTTTAGAAAACTATCTTTGAAAGGGCATTTTTATGAATTTAAAGCCTCTAAAATCTCAGAGACGGCCTAACTACGAGGTTGTGACTTGTGAGATGAACAAGACATGTGGTTGGGTTCTAGGCTTGTAGCTAGGAGTTTAAAACATGTTTTTTTTAATTATTTGGGGTGTGCTATCCACATATCATTTTTTACTTCTCACACATCCCTTATTAATTTTTGTCCATTGATCTTTTTAACTCATCTGATCCAACGATCGAAAACCAAAAAAATATGAGAGAAATATAAAAGGATGTGTGGATGTCACACCCCTTTATTTAATCACCCCATGCCAACCATAACCATCCATCTCTAACTTGTCCATGCGTTAACAAAAGGCCAACTGAAAAACACTAGTACTTTTTGTCACATGGAGGCTTTTCCCTGCCCAACTTAAAGATATACAAACACATTTTACATGTGTTTTAATCAACTAGTACTATCAGATTTTTTTTATTTATTTGTATTTTTTTAAAACTGTGGGGTTCGGATGAGAAATTTAGATTCGATTTTTTATTAAGTTTTTGGAAGAAAAGAT